TCTGTGAAAAAATTAAACAATCTCACATTTCATAGAATTTTATAGGAAATATATTTTTTCTACTCCTGTCACTACCACGTCTGTTTCGTTTTCCACGGATCGGAGCCACTTCGGACATTTCCGGACAATTTTGATGGTCATGTCAGTGAATTTATTCGTGTTGTTTTGCAAAAATGTACCCAAAAACTAACGGTCGTTGAAAAAGTACAGTACGCAACACGTTCGGCAAACTTTTTAAATAACTCGGTTATTAAATACTCGCTCGTGTCAAATAAATTCGGATGTTTTCGGAGATATTTCCCACACTTTAAATTTTGACTTTTGTCAATTCTGACCATGTGCCTGAAAATGTACCCAAAAACTAACGGTCTTAGAAAAAGTATAGTATGCAACACGTTCGGTAAACTGTTTATCTCACTCTCTTATTAAAAACTCGATCCGCTGTGCTCCGCTCGTGTCAAATAAACTCGTGAGTCAAATGCCGTTTATCGCAATTGTTGCATAATATACTATTTTCAAATGGGTTTTATATTATATAGCGTGATAACTGTATCCATCAGGTAATTGAGTCAGGTTGTACCATACTAAAAATAAACCCGTTCAATAAAAAAAGTTCGCGACTCTTGTGGGACTAATAACATTCATTTTTACTAGCATAGGGAGTCTAACCCAACTATCAGCAGTAAAAAAAATATTTTACTAACAGTATGTGCCTAAAGTATAGAAAGTCTTTGAAAAAGTTTCAACGTTTCAAAGTTTCAAACGACTCTATGGATAATGAAAAATTTTATCCTAGGGGAATCCTAGAGTTTTTGTGACGTATATATTAGTCAGATCGTTTTTAAAAATAGTTTTTGATTTGAATTTTGAAGCGTTTTCATGTGAGGTTTCGGGTCATTACGAACTCGATCTGAATACGTTTTAAGGCAGATATAGCATATATCGTAAACGCGTTTATTTGTCATTTTTATGGTTCTTGAATAAAGTTCAAAAATTAAACATTTTGGCAGGTGCTTTTATTTTAAAAACTGATTCTACATAATTTTGGTATACTGATTCCAAAAATTCTATGCATTTATTTGCATCACGTAAGGTTTTTTAAAAATATTTAAAGAAAAAGCTATATTTCTAAAATAATTATTTTTTTTATTCAGAAAAAAAAGTGGAATCCTAGTTTTAAAAAAGTGAAAAAAAAATACTATGACTTTTTTCCTTAATGCCCTGCTGAAACCTCTCTCTCTCTCTAGACGATGAAAGTTTTCTAACATATTTTGAAGAATACTTTCGTAGTTTTCGTCCATAGAGTTCCCAAGAAACTTATCAATTACTTCTTTAAGTGAAACCCAGGCGTTTTTCTTTGGTCACTGTGTTTTGAAAATTCCTGTCTTTGCATAATGATCTTAGCTGGGGTCCAACAATAATACCTTCTTTTATCTTGACATCAGATATGGCTGGAAATTTCTCGCACAATTATTTGAAACGCTGTCCATTTTTGTCTAGGACGTTAGCAAACAGCTCCATCAACCCAAGTTTGATATCAAGAGGAGGCAGTAAAACTTTTTTGGGGTCAACCAAGCTATCTCTTTTTGGGTACTAGGCGCAAGGCTTGTTCTAGAGAGCCATTATAAAGCATGGAAATTTTGTATAACCCCCGTGTTGTCATAGGAGCATCCACAGCACACCACTGATGTTCTTGGTGGGTTATTTTCTTCAAAAGAAGTCCTAAATTTTCATACGTTTTTTCTAAATGTACCGAATATGCAACGGGAACCAAAGCCAGTTCATTACGATTGTGCAATAAAACGCCTTTTAAGCTTACTTGATTCACTAAACAGGCGTTATTCTTCTTTAATGTATTGCACATTTCCTAATTTTGAAACTAAGTCAGAAATATTGTTGCAATACACTAGCGATTCTTCCTGACTATAATATTGCCATAATTCTTTTTCGCGAACCCGGTAAGCATTTACGCCAGGCGCCAGTTGCCAGTAAATGCTTGTCACGAAGCCCGGACGCTAACAATTCGGGTGCATCCTTTGGAAGGTGCAAATCTCTAATTAAATTATTTAATTCGCTCTGGTTAAATACTCTGGGCTCTCTGACATCTGGTGTGAAATCTGAGTCATCTAGGTCGGAATTAAATTCCTCTGATTCTGACGATACGACGTTTTAAGGCTCTGTAGGCGAGCCAGTATCAGTCAAGCTCTGAGGAAACCAACAGGATGATTGGCGAAACGTTAGCTAGTTCGAATCAACAAAAACCGACGCAGGAGGAATCCAGAAGTTGCATAAAAAATATTACAGTAGCCTGTGGAAGTTTCTTTGAAAAAAAAAAAGAAAAAAATTACGCTACTACGCGAATTACGACCACCGCTACTCCAGCATCAGCCATTGCTTTGCAACCATTTACGAGTTTAGGATTAATATTTATCATAATAAGTTTTAATTTCGTTGGTTTTCTCACTTGCTCGGCTTGCTTAGCTCGACCAGGAGAAGTGTTAACATTAGTATAATATATCTGTATATTAAAATGAGAAAAAAATGACAAACGCTCAAAGCCTACTATGTATTATACTCTTGATTTTGCGTGTTTATCTTATTTAACTACTACTCAGTATTTATGACCACAATTAAACCATAAATAAACTGCATATTTGCACTAAATTACCCATTTTAAAAATGCAACGCGATGCATGACACTCACATAGACGCTCCTCTGTTCTAAGAGGCCATAAATCTTTTATGCGCATAAGTTTGCGTAAAACGAAGAAAATTAATTACTGGGAATCACGCGCCTTTGTGGGTGGCAAATATTAGGAAATGGCTTGTTTAATACAAAGACTAAACGAGATTTATGACCTTCGAAGTTTCCCAGAATTTGGTTTAATTCTTGTCCCGGGAGATAAAGTCGCAAAACCTAATGTAGTGGAAGGAATTTTGAGGCGCTTCCTTTTATAACACTTTCACGCATTATGTTACTAATGAGATGAAAATTATTAACAACGATCGTTAGTAAATTGAGAAGGGAACAACTAAAATTTTTCTTCAACTAAATACGTTTCATTCCCTTACGATTTACATTTCTTCATTCTTGTTATTTGAGGAAAGCGATGCTTTGTGTGATTTCTAAGGCCACGTTCGACTAGCTTGAATTGGGGAAAAGCCGCATTACTTTAACAGTTGCGATTTAAGTTAAATACTCCCTCGATTTGCCTGCTGAAATTTCCATTTCGGTAGCTTTACTAGTCTATTATGCAATAGGAATGGTAAACAAAATTCGAATAAACGAGTGACTTAAAAAGTTTAGTTATATGGTACCTTTTGGAAAACAATACGAAAATATTCATTACCATGTCCGTCATACTTGACAAACGTTAAAATTCAAGCCAAGACAGTTTCCGCAGGCAGTAGAAAAAATATTTTCATAAACTTTAACATAAAATTAATCTATAAATAATTGGATATAATCTTTACTAAACTACTATCGAATCCAACAATTCGTTTCAGAAATATTCGTTGATTTTTTTATTGTGATAGGATTGACCTGATATTATACCCCTGTCCATAAAATTCATTATATGTGTACAGATCTGACTGTACATATATGTTCTTTTGCCAGAATTTTTTTTGTGCTATTTCAGAAAACCCGATCTGGTGGTATTGAAAGCAATGGCGGTCGCCTCACTTATAGCACAATTGATAACCTTTTTAACCTTGTTAACGACATCAGTTTTCTTCACTTCTTAACATATAAAATATTAAGTCTAAAACTGATTGATAGTTTAGGCAGTTAGCTTTATACTTTAAGTTTGACTCTTTGACATACAATAATTTTTTTGCCCATGAAATTATCTTCTCCACAGTACATCTATCTCTATTTAAGTATGCGTCTCTAGAATGATTGGAGAAGTCTTTCATAGAGGAATATATGATACAAAAATATAAGCAGATTGTCCGATTTAAAAATTTAAAGTTGTCGCTACTATTCTCTACAATTGATAGTACTGCTATACTGAAAATATTTTAAGTCCATAGAAAAAAGCCACGTGACAAAAGTCTTAAGAAATTATTACTACTACAAAATCTAGTTTGACTTCTAACGTCCTGTAGCTCACCTTATCTTATGGCGGATAAATGTATACCTATTTCTATAATAAATAAGCGTAATTTAATTCGAAAGAAGTAGGCGGACAATAGACGGAAAATTTGGGAGGATAAATTGCATGGCTCTAACTAACACGAGTTCTTAGAAAATTATTAGCAAATAAACCTTCAACATTTATTGTTTCTACTAGGCTCAAATTAATAATAATTATAATATCTAAGAGTTATCGTTTATTTAGTAGAGTGAAAATTCATAACTATCAATATATTTTCATTTCTTTTTTATTTTTGGTTCTACCGAAATTTTAAATTTTTTTTTGAAGGTTAGAAGTTGGTAAAGTTTTAAATCATTCTGCAACTAATAGTATGTGTAGTCTTTTTCCACGTGCGGAGTTACTCCTGTGGAATGAAAACTGTATTTATTGTTTTCGGGGGATTTATTGGATTTGATTTATGAAATTGTATTTGTATTTTTTTATGACTATAAATGCGATATAATAATAATAATAATCATAATAATGATGATGATGATGATGATGATAATAACAATTCAGGATCAAGTGGTGGCCGCCCGATGCCACCACAAGCACATAATAAAAATGGATGTTCAGAACACCCGCTGTAGACTCTGTAAAAAAGAGCAGGAAACAATACTGTACCTGATCTCAGCCTGTACTCAATCGCGCCCCACCGGTAAGCAGACATAACATACTTCGCTGTCCTTAACCTACAAACCCAAAAAAAAAAAAACAAGTCGGATCAGCACTGGTCAAAAATATCAAATCCGTCAGAATAATTGACCTCTCTTTTATAATTTCTGCAAACGGTCTAGTACATGCAGAATTAATAAACCACCTTGAGGAGCTAAACTTACCTTACCTTATATGTAGTCAGATGCAGAAAGCACTTATTTTAAGAACAATTGCCATCCTCTGAAGAACACTTTCCTCCTAAATATGTAGGTTTTTCCAAGTGTATATCAATAATAATAATGATAAATTTTTAAAGAAACTTGCACAGGCTACTGTAATACTTTTTACAAAACTTCTAGATTCCTTCTGCATCGGATTTTGTTGAGTCGAACTTGCTAAAGTTTCGCCACAGCTTTTCAGTCAAGCTTTGAAGAAGCCAACAGGATGATTGGCGAAAGGTAAGCAAGTTCGACTCACCAAAAACCGACACAGGAGGAATCCAGAAGTTTTGGAAAAAATAATAACAATAATAATAATAATAATGATAAGAATAAGAATTATATTGCCTTATCTATATTTGCATCATATAGATGAAGCCAGGACATTTGACGAACCATTTGTCGAAATAAATTATTCAACGAAATATAAAAGTGCCAAATCAATAAAAACATATTTTCTCAAAGTTGGTGATACAGTCGCTGGAATAATAAAATTTTTAGACACGAAAATATACGCTTAGTCAAATTCCATTTCGCTAGCCCGAGCAGCGATTAAGCTAATGCGTCCTTCGTATTTCCGAACGTGACTTGTCATCCTGCTGGAAATTGTGAATTAGAGGAGCGTGTATCTGCTTTACTTTTCGTGTCGTTTACTCCCCCAGTGTCAACGTTGTTTCCTTAAACGAATCACACATTTCTTCGACCCATAAAATTTTCTGCGAACGACCCTCGTTCATTCGTGGCCACGGCTTTCCACGGACCGAAAGTGAACGTACGTACATAAAGGAAAGCCGTAAATTGCAACTTTAAATCGGCGGTGTCGAGGTACATATTGCACACGCACCACTCACAGTTTTACTGGGAATGCGAATTATTTAGCTTGCACCGCGCGGGGTTAGTCACAAAAAGTTTTCATTAAAAATTTACCAACACGTTAAATTTCAAATTCTCCGATGTTCATCAATTTCATTTTTTATTGCGTTTTATTCGACATGCTTTACGGCACCATAATTCAAATAAAGCTCATATTTGGCATTCTGCCAAAGCCATTTTAAACAGCGGCTACGTTAAGTCTTCTACCGGGTATCCTAAAGGAGTATTTACAAATGTCATACCGAAAAATACTGAAAAAGCAACGCTAATCAGCACTTGGCAAATTCTAAGAGGTAGAGTTGAAATTAGAATTTGCTACTAGTCTTAATTCTAAATTTTCAAATTTTAAAGATCGATCGATGATCTATGAAGCAAACAGAAGTTGTACTCCAAACAGCCATAAGGAATTCACATAGGATTCGACAAAGAACTTAATTAATTGCGTAAGACTGTTTAAAATGCAGTTTAAGACCCTTACATTGTATTTATTAAAGTCGGGAATGTTTAATATTCTTCTTTTCTCAAACTCAAACGCAACCAAAAACACAATAAACTGTTTTTACTTAAAGTTGTATTTTGTCATCGGATTATTGTTTTGGTTTGGAACGTTTCATTAGTTTTGCCAACAATCCCTTTTTTACTTGTTGAAACTAACAAAACTTCGATCTTCGAACGTTTAAGACAGATGGATAAGTGTCCATATACCGATTACGATTACGATTTCGACTATAATAACGGACAACGATCCATCTATCTGAAACATTGCGGGTTATGTCAAATAGACACTACTCTGGTTCTTTAAGTTTCAGCACTGAAACATGGTGGGGCACATTCATAGAACATCCTGCCTTATATTTTTCAAAAAATTTAACATCTATCTATTTGCTTAATATTTGTAAAACCTGTTCATATAAACAACTTCAATGTGTGTTTTTATAATTAACCGCAAAAACAAAAATACTCAATGACATGTCATAAATCTTGTCTGTAGGCATCAGCCACTTCAAGACTAATTTGCGAAGTTTGTCTCTTTATGTTTGTCTCTTAGATAATAGTTTTAGTTAGTTGCACATATTTGAATTGAAATTTTTCCTCTAAGATGCGCATTTTTAATCTTACATTGAAAATTTTTTTTCCTCTATAATTATCATGAAATACGGGATTCTGGAACAGACTTTCACCATTTCATTTCCAAAACTTGCTGTATCGGTAAGTTCATACTTCGAAGTAATTTGCCCTATATACGTAAATAGCGCATTTAAACGACTTCTTTTGTTATTGAATCAGTTTGTGGATGAAGTTTCAAACGGTTGTATTTATAATAAAAAGCTATTTTAATTATTTTGTCAAATGTGATCCTAAAGTATGAAGCAAATTTTTGTTTAATCGGTCATTAAAAAATAGAATTCAAAGGTTCTTTGAAAATGAAAATGAAGTTGCTGAAACACGAATTTAATTAGACAGGGTGTCTCGATAATAGACATCAATATTTTAACCGCGTATTCTGAGACCAAAGATAAGGATAAAAGTTTATATACACTAGGCTCCAAAACGTCTTAGTTTTTAACATACATGGTGTTAAATTTGAAGGGTCATCGCGATTTCTTGTAAATATTTTCGAAATACTTAGGCTCTATTTAACGAACTAAATCTTAGTATGGGATTGTCTTCAGGGGGTGTATAACACCAGGAATGTTGGAGGGGGAGAGCGGGGAGGAATTTGAAACAAATTTTTTTATTTTCAATTTTTCGTAATTTGGACTGCAGAATTTCAAATTTTCTACGTAAATAAGGTACCATTGTCGCACCTCGCTAGAATACGCAGTTTTCGAGAAAAAAGCTTTTGAAGATTTAAAAATATTATGTTTACATCAACAACCAACCTTCTTTAAAATGTAAAGTTTATAATTTTATTAGAACAATTAGCTTTGCAGTAAATAGAAAGAACAATTCAAGAAAAAACTATCGATCTAAATAATGACAAAAAAAAAGGGGGCATCAAAATAACCTACTCCGTGGATCAACAACGCAACGCGAATACGCTACTCGGTGGCCGAACATTACATTATCTGTGGTTTAACTAAAAAATGTTACAGTATATATTGCTTATTTGTTGTGTATCAGACTTGTAATTAATTGAATCTTTGTTTTTGTTAATATGGCACATTTCAAGAAACAATCGGGCTTTATAATTATTGACACATTGCAAAATTTTTGGATTGCTGTAGTCAAATTCATGTCCTGTTTTTATGTAATGCTCAACCACTGCACAAGTATTCTTATGAATACGGCAATCACTTTTGTGCTGTGTTAAACGTTGCTTTAACCACTGTGAGGTCTGTCCAATATAACAGCCTTGACAACCCAAACACGACAATCGATATATGACATTACAGTTATATAGTAGCGGAGTTGGATCTTTCACTCTAGAAAAAAGTTTAGAGACTTTTTCAGTATTATATTTAGCAATTTTTATTTCCTTGAATTCTTTGAAAATATTTATGATAGATTCTGTGAGGTTTTTAATATAAGGTATCTTTCTGTAACACATCCGAGCGTCTGGTTCATCTGTTGGACCGTCAAATGTGTTGGAGTTATAGATTAATCGCTTAAGTATATGTTTTGGATATCCGTTATTGACAAAAACGTTGAAAATTTTTTTCAGGTTATTTTGAACAAAACTGTCATTTCTCAAGTGTGTAACTCTGTTTTTTATGCCTATAATTGTATTATATTTTTGGTTCTGTGGATGAGAGGAACAATAATTAATAAATCTACCTGAGGCAGTTTCTTTCTGGTACCAATCCAAAATAATTTCATTTTTGTTAGTTCTAATAACTTTGGTATCTAAGAAGGGGACATAGGAGTCTTTTTCATGTTCAATTGTGAATTGAAGGTTGGTGTTGAAAGAATTAAAAATACTCAAGGTTATATCTGTTTGGTCACATGGTACCGCACAAAGAAGATCGTCAACATATTTATAAATAAAAGGTAATTTGAAAGGTAATTTGGGTATAATTTGATCTAGTAAATGGTCCAATACTAGGGTAGCAATTATTGGACTGATGGGAGAACCCATTGGGGTACCAAAAATTTGTTTGTAGAATTTTGAATTGAAACTAAAATAGGTGTTATCAAAAATAAATTTTATAAGTTTGAAAAAATTTGTCTTTGTAAGATTAGTGTGTTCTTTTATCTTTTTCCATTCATTATCCAAAATCTGATTTACCAATTCGAGAGGAATATTAGTAAAGAGCGATACGACATCCAATGAAATCAAAACATAATTGTCAGGGAGTACGTAACCGCTGATCATGTTGGCAAAGGTAAATGAATCTTTTACATTATAGTCATTTGTGTTTGTAAACGTAGTTTTAAGGATATTAGCCATAAATCTCGATATGTTGTACGTAACAGAGTTAATCGAGGTTACTATTGGTCTCAGGGGGATATCTGTTTTATGGATCTTAGGCAAACAGTACAACTTTGGAAAGGATGAATTATAGATCGATAGTTGTTTACATTCACTGTCAGAAAGCTCTCTTTTTGTTTTTAATGATTTAATTATCCTATTGTAAGTTAATTGTATCGAAGTAGTAGGGTCGCGGTTAAGTCGTGTGTAGGTGGTTGAATCGTTTAATAATTCCATGGTTTTTTGAATATATGTGGTTTTGTCCATAGCAACAGTGCAACCACCCTTGTCCGCTTGCAGTATGTACAAGTCAGGATGTGCATTCAAAAAATGTTTAGCTTCTTTAAACATTGTGTAGAAGCGAGAAGAACCATTACTATTATTGTTGTGCATGTAGTTTGTGAATGCATTTGCAACTTTTGCCCTCATAATATCTTTAGAATTGTCCGGTACAACATCAATAATATTTTCTATGTCAGCCAAAAAATTTTGATTTAGAAACTGATTATTATTGGCTGGGACGCTAAATTTGGGACCGAGTGATAAAAAGTCGGATATATTTTTTGGAATTTCAACACTAGAATAATTTTGGAACCATTTTTCATTGTTATAAAATAATACATTTTGCGTAGATTGACATTTAAGAAGCAAATTGAATTTTTTTATGTTAAACTTTTTTACTTTATTGAAAACCTTCTTGTATATGAGTTCTAATCTACTCTTATAATCTTGTATAATATTGATAGGTATCAAGTTAGTTATAGATTGCTTTATATTCTGGATTGATTTGTTAATTTTCGAAATAATGTTACATGTCATTTTTATCTCAAGGGACAATATTTTAAAACTAATGTCAGATATAAATCTGTCTATCCTGTTTGCTGTCGATATATCATTACCAACAATTAATAGTCCATGTATCTTCTTTCCACTATCTTGAATGTGTCTAGGTGTCAATCTAGATTTTCTGCAACGAAAGAGGAAAATTCTTCTATTATTGTTCCTTGCTAAACTTCTGTTCAAATTTAACCACGGACCGCTACCCGATATCCTTTGAATTCAAATAAGTTTAGTACGGTCGATATAAGAAGAAATTCCAAGTGTTTATATATATGTATATATATATATATATATATATATATATATATATATATATATATATATATATATATATATATATATATATATATATATATATATATATATATATATATATATATATATATATATATATATATATATAGCACCTAAAGGAAACAAAGGATGCATACTGCATATACTGCAAGAATTTTAAGTATTCGTAGAGCAACAACTGACTTTTGATGTTAATTCTAAACGCTAAATTTAAACTTGTTGCCATTATAGAGAAGTATGACTTTTTAAATAATTCTTTACGATAACGGGGAATACAACTGATGTATTTATTTATATGGTATAAATAAACGTATATTAATAGGCCGCTTCGTAATACAGAATTTTCGACTAAACAAAACTTTCCACAATTTATGTTCAAAATTTATTTGAATTACTGCCTGGGCATATTCAGGAAAACTTCAACAAAAATTGGGTTCACCGAGCATTTTTCCAATAACGATATCTAAAATTATAATGACTGTCAGCAAAGGAAAACTCCATCGTTTCCCGAATAATACGACAATATTGTGTTGAACACGCATCTCGTGTGAACCACTTGGCGCTCACCCACATGCAACCGGAAAATATTTTCGAGTTACTCGGCCGATCTCTTTTCTCGTGGCTTGACTTGAAAAACTTGGCGGGACCTTTAACGACGCACATGTTATTCCACTTTCTCCGGCTTTATTCGTTATCGTTATCTCTATTTTTCAGCTTCAATATTCCTCAAGTGAGATCACGGCTCGAGAAGTTAATGGGTACTAACTATGTCAATCTGACGGACCGTGTATATATGCAGCGGCTTCAGCAGCGTATCCTTGAAGACTACGAGGACTCGATGGACAAACGGATAAAAGTCAGAGAGGTAATATGTTTCAATTGTTTCCCGTAACAACAAAATGCAATCCTAGTCTTGTGCATGGGTTCCCCACTGCAGAGTAGACCTCAGAGGCACACCAATAGTTTCCAAATAAGTTGTGTTTTATAGAATATTCTATACAGTTATATGCAGAGTGACCACTTTTTTCAATGAATTTTATAGGTGCCTTTTAATTTACAATTTTGAAGTGTTCTAAAAGTATAAATATTAAATATTATATTATGTTTATTAATTAGGTATTATATATTAGCTCTAATAGAAAATATATATGACACTAAATATATGCAAATTTACTAAATATAAACAAATTATCAAAAATTTCATAAATACGTAAAATTTAAAATCTAATTATACTCCACAAATAAAGCATTGTACAAAAAATAACACTCGCACACTTCAGTTTTCAAAACACATAAAAAAATTATTGTTAGTTCCCTGATATAAAAAAATTAGCCCCCAAAAATACTCAGCAACGTAGATTTCATATTTGGAATAATTTTGAGAAACACCATTCTAATCATCTTAGGATTAAATGAGCTACTAATGCTATTACAAATAAAATTGCCAAATTTTTAACAATATTGGCAAAAGAATGTTTAAGATGGCTTTCCACCCCACGTGTCCCGATACCTGTTTTTATTTTTTTAATGATTTTTTTTTCAAAAGTTACACCAAGCAAGGGTGACAATAATAAAGTTTTCGGAAGTAAGCAAGTTAATAAGCGCATATTTGTCACTCAAACATTAACATTTTTTTGTAAGTGTTAGTACCAAAAATTTCTAGTTAATTATTGGTTTAAAATATATTCTCTCGCAATAAATGAGATTAAATAAATTTAAAAAACACCAATTTTCTCTCTCCAAAAGAGGTAACCTGTAAAACCTGTAAAATTTTCCTACGGAAATGAATAAAAAGATATGGAAATACCTATAGCTAAAGATTTTCGAATGCATAACGTGTTTTGGTTTTATAAATTCGGATTTCCCAGAAATATCTGATCACCCGACAGACCCAAAAGATAATAACATGAATTTCCATTTAAAAACATCTCAAAGCTATTTTAAACTCGAATAAGGGACTTTCCGAGTAATATAATTTATACGTTACAAAAAAATCAGATTTGAATCCAATCAGACGAAGATTCAAAACAAGAATAAGAAAGCAAAAGAGAATTTAAGGCTTATCTAAGTGGGTTAAAAGCTCCACGTGCCACTTTGTCCTTCAGACATTTTCTTTTCGCATTAAACAATAAATTATATTGCGAGATAAAATTTTTCTGTCAATGTTAATATGCAGTAAACATCGAGAACAAAGCAAGGCGGGTATTTCATGTTCCGAAGATAATTGATCTAAGTAAATAATTGAAATGGACATATTTCTGTCTGAAAGTTTTCCTAATATTATCAGTTTTAATTTTACAATACGTCATCATAATAAAGATTCAAATAGATAGAATTAACACAAACCTCAAATACCTATACTCAACAGGATATCTGACTGGAACTAATTGTACATTCTTTCAAATGTATTTTATGTCGAAAGAAATCTCTTTAAAAGGATTGAAAAAACAAAAACAGGGGTTTTTATAAACAAAGGCCAATTTTACATGGTGATAAATAAACAAGGCACTGCAGTTTCTGGCCAATTTCAACCGATCACATAAAATTAAGTTATTCGTATTTTATCAAAGATATGCATTTTTAAATTATAAATAGTTTATACATACCTGCAAATTTAGATTTTTATATAACCTATCGAAGTAATTTTCCGTGGGAAATCATTTTTATTTTTAGTGGGCTGTGATTTATCTAAACAACTCACCGATTTCTGATCACTATCCAAGAAATCATTGTTGAACCAACTCAATATTTCAACATATTATTATTAGATGCACTTAATCAAAACTTTATGTATTTTGTGTATATACAGAAGCCAAAAACTCAGTACATTGTTCATTTTTGGATTTTCATATTTAAAAAAATATGTTCACTGAAAAATCAATAAAACCTTTAAAAATACTCAAAAACTCTAGGCATCTATTTTTTAAATGAGTTGGTTTAAGTCCTTCTATGTTTGGTATTCCTTAAAATGTTATTTATATGTTTACGAACACAAAAAATTAATTAATCAATTTCCATTTGTTTCGATTAAAATGAAATTGACAAGTTGATCCTGTGCAAGAAAATCGATACACCACAACTTATACAATACAATACAACAAAAAAAGAACACTGACGTTCTGCCAAAACTAATATTTTTTTTTAAAGAGACATCGGAGTGCATTAAAATCCTCAATCCCGAACCAATGAAAGAATTTTATAGTTTAAATTAAATTAAATTAAATTTTATATTTCTTAGGTAGAATTAATAAATGTTTAATTTGTTAACGTCATAATGATTCGAAAAGCTATTTCTTAGCTCATATTATGTTTCGTTATTATTTAGGAAGAAGAAATGGAAAGAGTGAAAAATCTGGTGTTAATTGGGAAAATTCCACTGGATCAAGCACCGCCTGAAATGGCTCGCCACCCCATAATGCTTATTGAAAACTATTGCAACAGACTGATTGCGGAACGGAGAGCCAAGGTTAATAATACACTGTGTGCCATAGAAATTGCAAAACCCAGTATATGATTAGCAATATTTAGACTGTTTTATCGGTTAAGTTCCTGCATGAAATGGGGGACAACATTTTTGTTTTGTTTTTTTCATGTGCACAAAAAAGTAAGTTAGCACAAATTAGTTTAACGAGGTAGGATGGTATGTCTATGTATTGCTATTAACCAATAGACATAAACAACTAACTATGTCTGGAATACCTGGAATCAGGAGTGGGGAAAAAGATCGCAGTCCGTGACAAATCACGTTTACGTTTGGCTCACGATGGTGGTATACTTTTTATGGTTTTGTCTTCCGAATGAGTTTAAGACCCGCCAGGTGTAAGGCGGAAGGAACCATTCTGTTCAGCATGTGTACCATAATTTTCTTTGTTTATATAATTATGTTTATATAATTATGCTTTGTTAGCCGTCGAAGCTTTGGAGTTATTTTCATTATTATAATTACCAACTTACAGTTATTCCATTGTTTTTCGAGACTCAGTGTGCGATGTCCAGCGACGAAGCAGTTGAGATTGTGGTCGATGACATAATAATCGTTGATGATGAACATCCGCCAAATTCAAATGGATCAGAGACTCGGACTCATTTGCCGGTTGCTACCAAAAGTGGAGCCGTAACATTAACGCTCGAGATGACTAAAACACCGTATGCCACAGTATGTGACAATAATCGAGGAATCTCACCGATGAAGCTCGACACAAATCCTCAAGGTTTTAGCATTTGTATGCACGAAATACCGAAGTACGGTTCTGGAACATCATTGTGGAAGAGCCACCAACGTCACTTACTTGGAGCGTTATGAATTGGGGTACTAAAAGAGTTGGAAGCACCTTCAGCACGTGCCAGACGATATACCCCCACAGTTACTAGAAAATTCCTACGACAAGCTTATATAACCGTATATTGGATTTTAGCTTAGCTTAGAGCCAGAGCTTTCGAAAATGTTATAAAATACAAAAAACAAAGTTACTCAAAAATATATCGACTTGATTAAAAGCCACAAAAAATAATAAAAAGCTTGAGTGGGCCGCCTTGTCTCCGTGTGCCATGATGAGTTACACAGTGTCGAAACTTACAAGGAGGCGCAACTCACTATTGAATCTTTAAGAATTCCTTTCAATAAGTTTATTTGAATATATAACCCATTGTTATTAATATTCATTCCAACTACTGGGTTTTGCAATTTCTATGTCAGACAGTATATTACGAAAGACAACATTATATATCCAACCCGCAAAACTTAAACTTTTACTGCTTTCCAGATAAAAATGTATAAAATTAAAATTCCGAAGTATCTCTATTGGGACGATACTCCGGATCCACCGACCGGGTTGTCGATAGAAATGGGCCACGTTTTCGGTCAAGATGGTGATAAATTATGCCAGCCGGTAGAAAAACATATAGAAAGCAGCGAAGAAGAGGATCTTCAGTTAGGTTATATGATGGCGATGGAGGAGTTTGACAAAGCGAAGTACGAGAACAACCTGGTGAAAAAACTTCTCTCCTGTGAGGTAATGTTAATAATAAAATGTCTTCCCATTATTTTTTTTTTGGAGCCATTTTGGTAAGTTTCATGTTTTATCATATCATATTATTTGTGCGGTGTTTCTGTAATGACGTTATATAAAATTTAATGTGTAGAGAGTGGAAGGACAGCATTCGGGAAATATCGGAAAAACGCCTACAGAGGTTTTTTGCCTTTTCTGCTGACGATAAAAAACTGTCCTGAATATTTTTCTTTACGGTATTTATCATTATCTGTATTTCACAAATTCGAAACTTCAAAATTATAGTCTACTCCTTTATTGGGCACCAGATTTACACACGGTTAGTTTATGCAAGAAAATTGTATATTTTTTTTCCACCCAATATAGCCGCAGCAAGATAATTTCGTTCTAAATCCAGTTACATGTATTAAGTGTTATTGACTAAGATTTAATTAAACTCCATATTTTTAAATATATAAGCAAGGATTGTTTTGTTTTATTTGTTTTGTTCGTTATTTGCAAATTTAGACTAACCAGGAAGAGAATAATACCCATAATGTAAAATTCCCTTAAATTTTATATTTAAGTTTTTTCGTAAACCTTTCGAAATAAAAGGATAGGAGACTTTATATGAGACACACACAAAAATGAAAAAACGCATCCATAACATTTCTCAAGTCATATGTGCCATTTTTATTTTATAATTGATCGATTAAGGTAAGTATTACATCTGCAATTGAATTCTGAGAATAGTTGAAGATAGTGGATAATGATATGGTTGGTAATCTATCTGATCTGAAAAACTTGAATTTAAAATTGTTTCAAGAATAAATTTTTGTTTAAAATAATAAGTTATAACTATAACATCAATTGCTAATATTATGCAGATTATTTTTTCGAGGTATCGCACCATCCCAAAGTACCCATTGGGAAAATAAATTCAATAGCGCCATCGCCGAATTATCAAGAATACTTAATTTTTGGGAACATTGTTATAACTATTTGATGTATGGGGCCTTGTGGTATATCAGCATATCACTCATAATAATGGCACATTTGAGGCCAACATCAGAAAATGTTTAGAAGGGACATTCTACCAATAAAACCATATGATGTTCAACAATCAACATGGCCGCTGATAGTTCGCCAATTCCAATGTTTTCAGAATAGTGTAGTATTTTTTGTTGACAATTTTTTTATTCAAAATAAAAAACGAGTAGAATGTATAATGGTCGCTGTTTAGAACGATAATTACGGCCATTATATTATGTTATAGCCATATAATATCTACAGCTATAATACATTTACTACAGCCTTTAACTTTGGAAGTCAACATCAATTCTATTTCAATTTTCTACCCAGCAAATTTGTCAGGAAAAGTTGTAATACAGAGCAATACGCATTTTTGTCGAGGAAATGCTGCTGAAATTTTAATAGTCTTCCATTCCGACAGTTCCATAAATCGACTGGTTTTTGCATCAAACTCCTTTTCATTTCGAACGTCGAGAAATCCGCGATAATGAAAACGATTAACTGTACAAAAAGCGATTTTCGAGAGCATCTGTCAATTGCATATGATTTTTATGGGTCACATAATAACCCGCGATTATGATTGACTTTGCTTTCTGCAAGAGGAAACGGTCTATTCAAAATATGCGCACATTGTTTAAACCGAATAATGCCCAATGAGTTACGATATTAGTGAAAAAATAACTGGCTATAAATGTGAAAAATGAAATTAGATAAAATGAAATTATACGATTATGTTTAAGACAGTACATAAAACCTTTAAATGTAATGATTTGTTCTCTCGGATAGAAAAGTAATGGCGAAATATCCGGCTAAATCATATGATGCTAGGGAAGTAGTATTGTGCACTACAGTATTGTTATAAATTTTCGTGGTTAGTTACTTAATATGCTCTTTCATTTTTAAATATTGTCGAGATTTTCCATTTTAAATGAAACATTGCTCTTGAACGTTGGGTTTTCATCAGGTTATAAAAGATATAGTGTGCTCAAGGCCTGTACAAACTAGATAAGCATTATCTAAACTAATCTAAATCAAAACCCACTGCAAAGGGGTGGACAATTATTGTCGTGATTTCATTTTTTGCATTTTTCATTGGTTAGTTCACTCAGAACCTAACATTTCTTTTGCAATTTAACAATCTAATTGTGTTGTTTGTTCATTATTCATTTTATTACGAAAATCAAGTTGTGATTCAAATATGAAACAAATATTACAAGAAAACTGTTGCAAATATGAAGGAAGCTAAATATTATCAGAAATCGGAAAATGAAAGAAATGAAAATGTTCTACAATGAAAACGAATCCATTTTTTTTTGTAATTACGAACACTTCTAACGAACAGCTCAGTGCCAAACCTTGCATACGGATAGCGTTTAAATGTGGAGTGATTCAAATGTGTACTTCTCCCACGTTATCCCAGGAAAATTTTTTCGACTTAGCCATTAATTTTTCACTAGCGTTTAAGCGAGGGGTTCTTCGAGTAAACTTTTTGTATATAATAATGAAAACTTAAAATTAAGCCGTCTGTATATTAAAAACAAAATATGGTAGGAAGTAGCTATATAATTAGGAAAGTTTTCTAGTTAAAGCTCACAGCGGGTAATTCGCACAGTTCTTTGTTTTCGGTTTGATTTAAATAATGCACCAGGCTGTTGATTTCAAATTATAACATGACGTCTAAATTCAAGCTCTTTAAATTTTTAAACATTATGCCACCAATTTTAGCTTATGCTGTGGAATTTCTTCATTGTGAGAATATGACGATGGTAACACACAAACACACACACATACACTAAAAAGCGTAAAACTATTAACGAAATTAACAAACATTTCCAAATTAATAGTTTGAACCGAAGGCTGAACAGCCATTACAAAATCATCAACATCGTAAGTAGTAGTGATTAATCACTTCTACATCCCCTGTGCAGCGAGCAGATCGTGAGATCGATTAAAGATTCGTAACTAAAGATTCGCCACGGAAATTAAAGTTTCCAAAGTAACTAAAAAAATTTCACCGATTACACATGACATCACTATAAATATAACTAAAACTAGTTCCCTTTCCACCCCAGTTTAATAGTTATTCGACGAACTTTATCAAAATTATTGAATAAGAGCTAATGTTCAAAACAGAAAGTTATACTTATTGAGAATTAGCCTTTCACTCAGAAAGTGAACTTTTTGGTATGGAGAAATTATAAACGTAAAAACATTCTATCCATACGCGCTTCGGTAGAGTAGCCTACCGTTTCGAAATATAAACTTTTCAATATTTATAATATATAATTTAGATGATCACGCATCCACAGAATTTTAATTCACGTTTGATGTTGCGTGGGCGATAGTAATTGGCGTTCATTTAAGAGCATCGCAATTACATCTTGCGTTATTTATATGACTTTTCGGAATTGTATCGCTTCCACAGCATCGATTTGAACTAACGTCCAACCTGTTGTTTGATTTATAGATTCAATTTGAAATTTTAACGACTCGTTAGGCACATTGAAATCGCATTTTTCCACTTTTTAATTTATCGCATCTTTTTGATTGCCATCGTACGCTTCATGTGACACCCCACAACATCAATTTAATTCGTGCAATCGTTGCCTTAGCGGTTATAATATGTAACTTGTAATTTTTCAGACGGTGGAAGAAATGTATGCTCTCGCAGACGACATCATCGGCATTCTCAAAAGTTTAGACGAAAACAACAAAATGCCGGACGACATTTCCGACTCATTTAGTGGATCATAAGCCAAATAATATTAGCAATTTTTCCACAGCATAAAAATGTATTTATCTAATTAAGCAATAAAAACATGTATTTCCGTCATTAATTAATTATTTTAGTTTTAATTAAATCTAATAATTAAATTTAATACGCCGTATGTGGATGCGTCAAAACGTCACGGCGCAAAAATTATTTTGATGCATCCAATTAGCAATGAATTTTTGTGCGTTGCGACCTGTGATTGTTAATTGCAGGCGATTGTATTATTTTGAACTTCCTAGATTGGACTCATATACAAAAAAGATAAAATTAATTTAAATAATGATTTGTAAAACCGTTTAAAAGAGATATCTGTGTATTTCAAGGTTTCCTGTCTGCACATTTTTTTTCTTTTTATTGCTCTTTTCGAATCAGGACTAATCCAAAACTTGATATTCTAAAAAATGGTCTGATAAGGCCTCTTGCATTTTTAATAACATTTACTACAACTAAAATAAATAGAAATTTTGTTGCTACAGTAATTAAAATTATCCAGTAGACATTATTTCCAAAACTGAAATTGACGTTTTATAACTTTTTTTAACAACAAAAAACTAGTACAATATATTGGGTAAAACGATATACAGGCTAATTCATTAGTATTTGAAAATACATATACCCCAGAATTTCCAGCTCAGAATATTAGCATTTAACTCAATCCCCTTAAATTAAAATGTGGCTACAGGGTATCTTATTTTAAAAAATATGTTTTTTATAATTGACAAGAAGTGTGAGTCACTCTACATGCTACTAGATTACGCTGAATAAAGGTTTCTGGATACTATCAGAGCCGTATGGTAGGTGAAAATGGCTGGTTGACCCCTCCAAATTTTAGTACAAGAACAAAAAGCTGCACATTTATTTTGATATACTTACTTACTAATTAATTGTTTCAGAGCTTTGCACCGTAGGATTTCGATGAATAGATGCGCTTAATGTTTAAGAACACTTCTTGAAAAAAACATTTTTTACAATCTAAATAAGGAGTTCAATGTGTAAATATTTATTTAATAGGGATTATAAACGGTGGCATAGTTGGTAATGTTGATGTAGACAACATACCTAACTAGATCGAATCACTGATTTTTTTTTACATATATGATCCAAACTGAAAAAACAAAATACTATATAGTATACTATATATGATATTGCCGAATATGAATCGCTAATATGAATCCGATGGACTCAGACTGAAGAAAATAGCATTGTCTGTGTGTCGTGCTTAAATATTAGCATACTAAGACAGGAAATCTGCGTTTTCATTCAGAGCGTAATCTTCATTTTGCTTTAATTATTCAAACTTTTGAGTATTTGTTTACACACACACAACCTAATTTAAACTTTTTTATCGCTTTTCCCGAAAAAAATTAAATAACTTCTTCAAAACAGGCCAATTCCGGGATTACTTGTTTTGCGGTTTATAAACAATCCTCCCCAGAGATTTCAGTGGGAAGATTACCCTCTATAACTGCACATATTATGTTGATACATAAGTATAGTGCAAAATAATTATGTATTTTTTATAAAATATTAGCTCTAATAATATTCTCAATTAATTAATTTTTGCGATGTAAACTAACATTAACCATAAAACATCTAACATATAGAATATACGAAAGAAACGATAATAAAAAATTCCACCATTTTAGTAGAGCAAATAGATCAGATGTAATTATGGTTTCAAGCGAGTAACATTTAATTTCACCTTGCAGAAAATAACGTATTTACTTTTAGAAGCGAGTTCGGTTATAATCAACATCGACTAGCAGTAAACAACTAGGATACAATGTACATCCTTTGTCAAGTATCTCCTGATTCCAGATATTATAAATATTTTCTTATAATAGATGGAGACAGATTACAGTTTATTAAAAATTTGTTGTGACTGGTACATTGTAACATAGAAATTTTGGTTTAGAGATACTACTCGTAAAATTAATAAAGATAAATACATATGAACTACAGAAATAACTACCTGATAATTTGGTTGTATCTCGTACCATGAGGGAAACAGAATATAATATTCTACAATCATGTAATAGCTATAACACCATTCACTTAGACATTTACATGTTCGTTAAATATGTTATCATAGTCTAAAGAACCACAAAGTGACGCGCTCTTAGTGGATATTACTTGATGCGCTTGGAAAGTAGGGAGGTCAACCACTGCCAGACGGCGCTTATCGCATGTGTGCAGAGGCCACCAAAAAGTGGTCACGTTGCTATTTTACGCATTACAGTATACTCCATTACGGGTGCACACTTAATAGGATAACGTTAGAAGCATTAAATGTAGTGTAAAATGCTGGGCCCTTAACGATGGCCTCAAGTCTAGGCATCGTTTCTAAAAACGCTTTGCTTGGTGCATGTATCTAATTATTTTATATTTTATACTGTAATAATGGATCTGTATAATTCCAGTAACAAATAAAAAAGGTGGAAGAAAATAATAAAAATGTTGAAAAATCTCGAATTTGTTTATGTTTGGACAACTTTTGCAAAAACCGACCAATACTACATTTGTCCTAATTTACATTGGAAGTTAAGTTCCAAAAAGTACGTTGAAATTCAATTGTTATTTACATTACAGCTTTGCAGTTTTCAGGTCCAGCTGATGTTTACTTTCTACACTTTTCCAGAGTGATGACTAATTAAAACAATGGTTAGTGTGAAGTCAGAACTGAAAAAATATGCAGTCTTTTGATTTGGGGATATTGGCCAAAGGTCGAAAAATACTTCTGAAAATACAGGTTTTCTTCTTGCACTCTACCCAAAGTAACGAAAACAAATTGTTGATAATTATTTTGCAGCTTCTGAGTTCAAATTCTAGGTTTCAAGATAACAGTGTTTTTAGTATTGTTTAAGAGCGAATTTTTTGTTTGTAAATCTAATCCATCTAATTTAATCTAATAAAAACACAATTTTTGAAATGGAATTATCATTTCAAGCATTTTATTTAATTTTCCTTGAAAATATATTTCATGAGATTTGTTTGCCAAAACTATAAAGTTTATAATGATATCTCAAACCATCAACAACTTGTCGTTACGAAGAGGTTAAATTAGTTGAAAATTGCTTCAAATACATTAGGCTTCGTTTGATTAAACTTTACGCCCCTAAAAGCTTCTGCGTAATAGATGCCTGGTTAAAGTCTCTAAAGGATGTTCCATTAACAGACGACCACGGTTTCATTGTTTAAGATATTTCAGGTTAATTAACTTTTAATAAAATATAAAAATTGAAAGCAACATTTGTTATAACCAAGAAAAATGGAAAAAGTCATTGTTTTAGGAACACTCAATTTAATTACCCTTAATATGGAGATAATTCAGCAAAAAATAGAAGATAAAAAGTATTGTTTAAAATTGTAAAATTGTGTTATAAATCTGCATTACAAACTGACCCAAGATATGAATCTAGAAGATAAATTGATTGAATTGGTGATCTTTAGACACATTTAAGCGTGGGAGTGTTGCTGAGAGCTCTGTATTGTGTGGAAATATTTTCGTATTTTTTAAACCTTAACTTGACATCCATAGACAGTATCTTTGCTTCTGTCGTCAACGACTGTTCCCACTTATACATATTCTGCAAAGTTGGTGCATCGCAAATGAATTAAACTTAGAGATAAGTATAAAGTTGTAAGCTGTACTAGAAAGAAGAATATTATTCTACACCCTTATAATATAGAATACGATAAATACGATAAATATGATAAAAGTTGTTGGAGTAAATTTCCATAGCAAACTCTTATTTAGTGATCTTATTAATATCATTAATACCAATACCAAATATTTTAGGGATAATGTGCATATGTGCATCCAATGCTTGAGTATGCATCTTTTATTTGGAACCCATGTTAGAAAACCGTTGAAAAAATTCAAAGAAAATTCATACAAATTTTAGTATTTAAATGTGGCGGTGACTATTCGTCGATAGGCGAAATAGTGCATCCTAGCTTTTCTACACTTATTTATATTGTGAACAAGTGCAAAGTACTCTGCCTTGGTATTCCCAGGAATTATGCATATTTAACTTTCGTCCATATTAGCTTGTGGCGGAAAAAGTTTTGTTTTAAATTTTTTTTATTCTCCTTCTTCTGTATCCGCAAATTACCCTGTAAACTTTCTTATCGAGAAATAAAGCGATTATTATTATTATTACTATTATTATTTATGATTACAAAAGTCAAACGGATTACATTGAGTGCAGAGAGTTTTTTCAATGGATAATGGAACAAGTGGCTGCTAAATCATATTCAGCAGTGGGACTCACTTTCATCTTGTACAAAATTGTCTCTGGAGATCACAGACTACGCGAGCGCTTGATGGGAAGCGACTAAACAAAATAAGAGTCGAATAAAATAGAAATTTCCCGTCCTCCTGTTCCCGTTCAACAAATATCATGTGACTTAAAAGCGCTAGAATTATTTCATTGAATCGTTTTGAAGTTTAAGCTTTCGCTCTTTCCCCATTAGTTCTCATCTTATATTTATAATTAGGAAGCGGAAAAACTGCAAACGAAAAACTCTAATAAGTGCTCATTTCAATGCATCAAATTTTGCAAATGCAAATAAGAATTTTTAATATATCAAAAATCATGAACAATAACGTTAAATAAAGCCAGAACTATTTCTTTGTAATTAAACCCGTTGTTCAGAAGACCTATAATTTTTTACGTATACCACAGACCTATTTGAATATATAAAAATGAAAAAATAGTAATAAAACTTTTTATATTCACACGTTCACACACTTACATAGCAAATTGAGATTATAAAAATAATTTCACATAATAGCAACTTGCACAACATACAATTCGTAAATTAACAAACTGTTCTCATTTAACAAAAAAATTGTTAACTAAATGTTTTTCAAAATTTCCCAAGAGTAAGTTGTGCCTTCTTCCTGTATACATATGTTTAAAAGTTAAAAAACTTCGCTCAACTACAGAAGTTATCGGACATTATTTTTGTTTTGGAATTAGATGTGTTTCTGATTTATACAAATCCAGTTCTCTTTCGAAACTAGTGAAATCGCCTACAACAATTTCTG